AGCTGGAACTACAGGTGCGCGCTACCGCGCCCGGCTGATTTTTTGATTTGTTGTAGAGACAAAGTCTCGCCAATTTTCCCGGGTTGGTCTCGAACCCGCGGGCTCAGGCAATCCACTCGCCTCGGCCTCCCAAAGTGCTGGGATTACAGGCTGAGCCACCGAGCCCGGCTCAGCATCTCTCTTAGCTTGGGCGGGAAGGAACATCCACTGACAACCCCTCTCTTCCTTCTCAGGGGTCCAGTCTGGGCAGGAATCACGTGGAGCAGCTGCTGCGCTGCCTCGGGGCGCACATCCACACTCCCAACCGCCGGCAGCTGGCCCAGGAGCTGCGGACGCTGCAAGGACGGCTGCAGGCCCAGGGTCTTGGGGCTACACTTCTGCACGGACCGCTCTTCGCCTTCCCGGATGCGGTGAGGGAGCTTTCTTGTAGTTAGGGCTGCCCAAGAGCAGAGAGTGAGCTCCCTGTGCCTGGGTACGTGCAAGAACTCCATGTCCCAAGATTCTGTGTCTCCTCCGTGAAGACAGAGCAGTCAGGAAAGGGACATCTACCCAGTCCTGGCTTCCCAGCCCCCTCTTGACCCCAAGCCTGCCCCCCCACTTGCCTCCCACCATAAGACTTTCTAGGCCTTTCCAACTGAAGCCCCACCTCTAGTTGAGGCGCAGCAGTCTCAGCGGCGTCTTCCCTCCCTCTCCAGGTGAAGCGGATCCTCCGCAGGCGCCAGATCCGCCCACACTGGATGTTCGTGCTGGACTCGCTGCTCAGCCGCGCTGTGCGGGCAGCCCTGGCTGTGCTGGGCCCCGGTAGGATAGGGTGTGGAGCTGCCGGCCTGCCTGCCAGCAAGGGTGTGGCCCTCGTGGGGCGTGGCAAACACTGAATGGGGCTGGTAGGGGGCGTGGCAGGCAGGGCCAGGCTCCACCGGGCGGGCAGGAGCCGGTGGAGGTGTGACTAAGTGGATGTTTCCCAGTTTGGCACTGCCTGGTCCCTGCCCAGAGCCTGGCACCCTCTACCCGCACTCCTTGTTGGGGTACCCCAAGTGGGCATTCTCGCCCTGCCTGAGCTCACCCCACTCTGATCGCAGAGGTGGAGAAGGAGGCAGTCTCCTCCAAGTCAGAGGAGCTGAGTCAAGAAGTGGAGACTCAGCAGCAGCAGCAGCAGCAGCAGGAGACCCTGGTCCAGCAGAGTGTGCTCCCTGCAGAACCTGAGCAGAGCCCCCCGCCTCTGATGGTGCGGATGAGCCTCTTGCGAGCGGAGACTGATCGGTAATGCCCCGCGGAATCACCCACAGCCTCTGCTGGGCTTCAGCCCACTCCCCACTGGCCACTCTGTTCTTCTCTTCTGCCCTCCAACAGGCTTCGAGAAGTTCTGGCCAAGAAGGAACAGGAGTGCCAGGTCCTGGTGCAACGGGCTCTCCAGCGGGTGAATGAGGAGGCCAGGACCTATGACCTGGTCTCAGAGCCCCCAGGTGAGCAGGCCGTGACTGGAGGACACTGGTGGTAGGGGTGATGCAGCTCCTAGCAGGAGGCACCCCTGGGCTCATCACCTGACTTCTCCTTGACAGCTGCTCTCTCCACAGACCAGGGCCTGGTGCAGTGGCTACAGGAACTAAGGGTGGATTCAGGCACCATCCAAACGGTGAGGGGAAGGGTGCTGGCTATCCCTGACCTCACCAGCCAAAAACTCCATCTCTGTCCATCTTTCAGCTCTTCTGGCTGTTCCCTCTGATTCAGAGAATCTCAATACTGGAAGAGCACTCAGTATCCTTCTGTTGTACAGATGAGAAAACCAGGAAGGCACCAGAAAGGGTGTCATCTGCCTTAGGATTCTGACAGGAGAACAGAGCTAGTACCTGGGTCTCTGAACACACCTTTCTGTCATTTTCTCTCTCCCCGTTTCTGTGGGTCTTTGTCCACAATCAGCTGCTGAACCATAGATTCACCCTCCATGTCCTGCTCACCTGTGCCACTCGAGATGACCTCCTCTACACCCGCATCAGGTATGTCCTGGTCCTTCAGGGGTGAGCTATGCATATGGTCCCAGGCTGGCCAGGTGCAGGCCTGCCCAGCTTCCTCCCTGGAAACCACAGGGGCAGAGAGGGTATTGGGAGAGCCCAGGGTCTTTTTCTGGCTGAGCCACATTGAGCCCACTACCCTCAGGGGAGGGATGGTATGCCGTATCTGGAGAGCCATCTTGGCACAGCGAGCAGGAGCCACACCAGTCATCCCTGGGTCCCGGGAGGCTGAATGAGGGCATCGGAGGCAAACTCAAGGATGGATGAATGGAGAAGGCAACAGCAGCTTCTGACACAGCTGCCCCAGCACCTGTGGCAACTGGAGGAGGCCAGGCTGTTGGAGGCCAGGGTAGGGCCCAGGCCTGGCCCCAGTGGAGAGAACCAGCTACGAGGCACCCGAACACACCAAGCACCGCCAAAGACGATTAAACAGAACACTTTTGTACCTTGTCCTGGCAATTTCGGAGATGTGTGTTTTGGGGAGTATCCTGAAAACAACCCCCTGAGGTCTTTTTTTTTGAGTTGGAGTCTCACTCTGTCACCCAGGCTGGAGTGCAGTGGCACGCTCACAGCCACTGCAGCCTCAACCTGCTGGGCTCAGGCGATCCTTCCGCCTCAGCCTTCCAAGTAGCTGGAACTATAGGCACACACCACCATGCCCCAGCTAGTTTTATTTACTGTAGAAATGAGTCCCTGGGCTCAGGCAATCCTTTCTCCTCCACCTCCCCAAATACTAGGATTACAGGCGTGAGCCACCACGCCCATCTGAGGTCTTTTTTTAATTATTAAATTTTGTGTTTTACAGACAGGATCTCCCTCTGTCACCCAGGCTGGAATACAGTGAGGCAATCATTGCTCACTGCAGCCTCAAACTCCTGGGCTCAAGCAATCTTCCTGCCTCAGCCCCTCCCTGAGCAACTGATACTACAGGTGCATGCCACCACAGTCAACTAATTTTTTCTTTTTTTTAAGTTGGAGTCTCTGTCGCCCAGGCTGGAGTGCAGTGACACGCTCACGGCCACCCCAGCGTCAACCTGCTGGGCTCCAGCAATCCTGCCTCAGCCTTCCAAGTAGCTGGAACTATAGAAGTGTGCTACCATGCCCAGCTAATTCTTTTTATATATTGTGGAGATGAGGTCTCACCAAGTTGCCTGGACTGATCTCGAACCCGTGGACTCAGGCAATCCACCGCCTCAGTCTCCCAAAGTGGGATTATGGGTGAGCCACTGAGCCAGGCCTTTTTTTTTTAGAAACAGGGTCCCCAGGCTGATCTTGAACTTAAGCCTCAAGCAATCACCCCATCTCAGCATCTCAAAGTGCTGGGATTATAACCTCTGCACCCCCTCCCCTGAGGTCTCTGTGTCAGAGTGTGAAGTTCTTAATCTGGCCCCTCTGGCTTCCCTCTTTCCTGCTTTTCCTTCTCTCTCCCCCAGCAGACACCAATCCCTTATTACCCTTAGAACAGACTTTATTGACTTTAGCCAAGGGCAGGCTCCAAGGTGGGGGTGCAGAGAGAAAGGCTTGGAAGGGCTATGTCCTGGGGGCCAGGTTGGTCCTGAGGGGTAGAAGCCCATCCACCCACTCACATGGCTGCTCCAGGAGGGCCTGCCACAGCCGCTTCTCCTCAGGTGTGGAATCCATCCAGGGCACCGGTAGCCCGTAGCTGCTGCCTGGATGTGGGTAGGCAGAGGTGGAGGACACGGTCACATTGGACACCTTAGGGCCCAAGAAACACCTGCCTGGTTCCAGATTATGCATGTGCCCAGTTACCCTCAGTTCTCAGTGGACACCAAAGCTCCAGCAAGGGCAGACGGGTGCCCAAGGCCACACAGTGAGCCCCCACTTCCCCTCAGGGCCCTGCCACACTTACCGGTGCCCAGGCTGAGGCGTGTGCCCCCGAGCTGGCGGCTGGTCAGGGCCCCATGGTCCCAGAGCGAGAGCTCAGCACAGGCCTGGCGCAGGTCAGCAGGCCCAAAGCCATCATAAACCATGGTGTGGTTGAACACTGGGCTGAGGCTGCGTCGCACCACCCTCGTACGCTGGCGGCTGGCCCGGCTGTCATCAGGCAACACGAAACTGAAGGGGAGGTGGGCTGGCATCAGACGACCACCCCCTCACATTCTCTAGAGTCAACCAGTCACCTAGTCCTATCCATTCTCCCTCACATATGTTCATGTCACCTAGTTCCTGCCTGAGACCTAGCCTCAAACACTCACTGCTCTGGAACCTTTGCACCAGCCTCCTCTCAGGTCTCCAGGCTTTAAAAGTAATCCAGCTGGGCTTGGTGGCTCAGCCTGTAATCCCAGCTTTGGGAGGCTGAGGTGAGTGGATTGCCTACAGGAAAAGGGTTCGAGACCCACGGGTAACTTGGTGAGACCTCATCTCTACAATAAATCAAAAAAATTAGCCGGGTGCGGTAGCGCACTCCTGTAGTTCCAGCTACTTGGAAGGCTGAGGCAGAAGGATCGCCGGAGCCCAGCAGGTCGAGGCTGCGGTGGCTGGGAGCAGCCACTGCACTCCAGTCTGGGTGACAGAGTGAGACTCCAACTCACAAAAAAAAAATAAATAAAAGCTACAAATCCTATTCACAGGACCCGAGTGATGTGTCAGAAATGCAATTCTGCTGCTCCCTGACTCAGTGACTTTCATTACCTCCCTGGTGCTCCCCACTCCCCAAGTAGTTTCCAAAGTTTTCAAAGCCTTGAAACCCTTTCTGCAAAATAAAATGTTGCTCAAAAGTACAATTCCTGAAATAAAAACAGAATGCCTCTGGTTGAATCAAGGTTGGGAACCCAGAACCCGATAGCCTACCTCTATTTCACTCAGGGCGGGACAGCATCTGGGAGGCGCCCCAGAGGTCCCTGGAAGCTTACTTTGAAAACCACTGAACTGCAAGTTCAGGAGCAGGCCCCACAACCTGGCCTTCCGTTCTCCATGGCCTCCCAGCCTCAGCTCTCCAACAACCCCTGTGGCCTCCCAGCCTCAGCTCTCCAACAAGGCCTGTAGGTGCCAGTCACCCAGGAGTGCAGTTCCTCAAAGGTGTTCTTAACTTTCCTGCGGCAGGCCTCTGCTCAGGCCGTCTTCACCTCTGCTCAGTGGTCAAAGCTCAGGCTGGGTGACCAAAGGCTGACTAGCAGGGGTGTGTGGAGGTTGGGAGCTCCACTGCAGGCAAAAGGAAGGGAAGCCGCCAGGGCCCGGCGCCTCTCACCACTGCACGTAAGTATCCAGGGATCCTGCGCGCAACGGTACGAGGTCCTGAGCTTCCTTCACCCAGAAGTGCAGCTCCCCGCTCTGGGGCAGTCCCGCGCCTGCGGATAACTCGGCTGAGGCCCGCTGCACCGACGGAGCACACGCCCTCGCCGGACAGGAGTCTCCCGCCTCCCAGGGTCCGTCCCACTGGGTCTCTTGCGGCGGTCACTCACCCTCGGAGCCGGGGGGGACGTACTTGAGCGACAGAGAGAGCTGCCCGCGGCTGGGAAGGTCGTCGGGAGAGGGCGGGACCTGCGAGAGATGGGCTTAGCAGCGCGACAGGAAAAGGGCCTCAAGGGAGTGGGGTCCCAGACGCCCGTGGGGTGTGGCTAGCGGGGAGGGCGGAGCCTCCAGAGAGAGGCCCTCGGGATCCTAGCGCCTCCACGGAAGGGCCGTGGCGAGCCAGACTGCGTGTGCGGAGGGGAGCTTCCGTCGAAGCAGGGGCGGAGGGGGCCGCGGAAAAGCCGGGTGGGGTGAGTGCGGGAGAGCCGTATGGCGGTTCTCCCCACGCGGCCCAGCTGCCTCACCCGGGGCTGCAGGGGGAGCCAGGTGTCCTCGGAGTCCCAGTCCCACGTGTCCAGGGGCACTTCGACTTCGCCCAGAAAGATGTTGCGACCCAGGCTTTCGCGGTGCCACGCGGACAGGCTCAGCACGCGGCCCCGGAGCTCGGCCTGCGCGACGGAGTACTGGGGACAGGAGGTGCGCTTTAGTGGGCGCCGCGGATGTCCCGGCGTCCGGGCTGCGCGAGGGTTGACGGGGGCGGGTCCTACCTCGCTCCTAGCGGGATGGAATCCTCGGGAGCCCCGAGGGGCGATAATGGGGGCCTGCACTACCACCGCGCCCACCGGGAGACGAGAACGCGTTAGTGGGGCGCGTCCCCGCCGATCCCCCGGCAGAATGAAAGGTTGTCGCGCCCGGCAAGGACGGTACCGCCTGCCCTGACACCTCGCCCGTAGGAAGGGGCGTCCTGTTCATTAATGGGAGTCCGCACCGTCGTCGCTGCCTCACCCGGAGGGTCTCGTTGAAGACCGGGTTCAGATTCCGTTTCTTCACGGCCGTCTTGCGCTTGCTCTGCTTGTCAGGGAGGAGGTAGCCTTTGACGTAGCTGGGAGGTGGGAACGGCGAGGTAAGGAGGGGCCCTCCCGAAGCCTTCTCCCCAGCCCCGGGGGCTCCCCCGGCCACCACCGGAACGCAGCGTCCCAGGTGCCAGCCCTCCGGCTAGGCGCTGTCCGGGAGTCATCTCACTCCCGGCGCCTCCCAGTAACGCCGTGGCCTCCGCTTAGAAGACGAGGAAACCGAGGCCAAGAAAAGCCGAGTGGCGGGCTGGGCGGTGAGAGCGGCT